AGTAGGTGTTTTGAAAACAAATACAGCAAGAATTTTTTCATTAAAGAAGTCATTATTCTGCTTCTCGTGCCACCCAAATCAAATTCTTCATCTCCCGCATCATCATACTTCATAATAACGCCTCTCTTTTTCCTCTCTCTCTCTCTCTCTCCCCAAACATACCACACCAGCACACCTCCGCTCCCTACATTTCTCTCTCTAGAACTCCATTAACTAGGGTTTGGTTTGGGAGAAAAGCCAGCCGGAAATGGGGCAGCAGTCGTTGATCTACAGCTTCGTGGCGAGAGGCACGGTGATCCTCTCTGAGTACACGGAGTTCACCGGCAATTTCACCAGCATAGCTTCGCAATGCCTTCAGAAACTTCCTGCTACCAACAACAAGTTCACTTACGACTGCGATGGCCACACATTCAACTACCTCGTCGATGATGGCTTCAGTAAGTACATAAGTTGCCTATATCTGTCCGACTTTTCCTTCGTTCCTATCTCAGCCTGCCTGGTTTGATATGAGCCGTATGATTATCTAGGTGGGAGCAATTATGTTTTCATTTAATGAATAGTTTAGCAGATGCGTAACTTTTATGTGTTATTGACATTTGAGGACATTAGATTTAGACCCTAGATCGCATTTAAATCTCCAAATGTTGGCATTCAAACCAAGGTAAAGCCTATATTATTAAAAATAATCCATTCTATGTCAACGGAATTGAGGCCTTTAGTTTGGATCACATTTTACATACATAATCAGGAGATCCTGAAAAACTCTAGCTTTAAAATTTGAAAATGAACTCATCCAGAAGTTGACTGTTGTAGTTGAATAACTTATGGGTTGCTTACGGGATATAAATCTCTAGAATTTTTTGAATTTGGAAATCATGATCATATCTTCCAATTTCCAAAGTTGGATGTTGCAAAAAAAAGAAGAGAATATATAAAACACAATGTAGATTGTTAATTTTGAAAATGGGAGCAAACATTTATACAAATTTCAACAACAAAACCTTCTCAAACCAATTAGGTCAAGAATGGAAGATATCCTTTGAGAATGTTATTTAATCAAGCTGCAAGGAATTTATATTTTAAGGTATTTTTTCATCACATACACTGAAACCTTTTTCTGGATCTGCTATAAATCTTTTAAAGCTATGAAGAACTGGAGGTTTATTGCATATATCTTATAATTACTATGTCATGAGGAAGCGTATTCTGTGATTTGGCAATTAGCCAGGAAGTTTGCCGACTGCCGTGTTAAGTTAAAATAACATGCTTGTTATAAGAACCACGGTTTTCTAATAAATTAATTGATGACTTCTGCTGCCTATGTTTTCTCTTTTTATATTTTATTTTTCTATCTGACTAATTGTGTTTTCATACAACAGCGTATTGTGTTGTTGCCGTAGAATCTGTTGGCAGACAGATTCCTATTGCATTTCTTGAACGCATTAAGGAAGAGTTTACCAAGAAATATGGAGGAGGAAAAGCCGCTACAGCTGTTGCTGGTAGCTTGAATAGAGAGTTCGGGTAGCTCATGTTTCATTATTAGTTAATAGTTATATTAGTTATAACAGTATAACTTTTCCACTAGTTCTATTCAGTTTGAGATGCTAATCTTGAAGATGATATATTGTTCTGTATAGGCCCAAGATGAAGGAGCAGATGCAGTACTGTGTGGATCATCCAGAAGAGATCAGTAAGCTAGCAAAGGTGAAAGCTCAGGTTTCAGAAGTCAAAGGGGTGATGATGGAAAACATAGAAAAGGTAAAGTTGGCAAACTTAATACTCTTCTTTAGAAAATCAATTAAGGCATTCTTATTGAGTTATTGTCAGTTAAATGATCAATTTTGATCTTACAGGTTCTTGACCGTGGTGAGAAGATTGAGATTCTAGTAGACAAAAGTGAGAACCTTCGCTCCCAGGTCAGTCACTGCAATTTTAATTTCACGTTTTTGGTTGCATTCTGTTACATTTAACTTAAGTTAATTATAGAGTAGACTGTTTCCATTCGTTTAGAACGATGCAATCATTTCATAATTTAAATCATACACTTATTTCTGGCTAAACATGTTTTTGTCGCCATAAATACATCTGGTTTTCATTTGGTCCTTCTAATAACACATTTTCTGCGTTAGTTCCTCGCTAACCTGGCACATATGTTGATGTGGCATGCCAAATATGATGTTCACGTGAGAAGCCACTTACATTTTACAGTTTATTGTAACGACGAGGACTAAAAGTGAAACAATAATTTCATGCCCCCTTGTCCCAATTTTAACTCGTCGTTTGACTTTGCAAGTTTTTAATAAAATTCAAATTGTATAAATGACATCTGTTTGGAGGAGAGAAAAATTAGCAGTATCAACGACACAATCAATCAAATCCTTAAAAAGAAAGCTGAGATAATTTACGGATGGATGAAGAAGGAAGAATGACGTTTAACTTTGGACCAAGGGATTATTATTGATACCAAAAGTATAGAAGTGTATTTTTAGGGACCAAAACTTTGAGCGAGTAAAAATGTATTTAATGCTTTATTTTTGCAAAATTACTACCGACCTCAATGGCAACAAATGAAAAATCTGTGCTGGATACCCACTTGTTTACACTCAGTCACAGTTTTCATTGTTAGCCTTTATTCAATGTCAATCATCTTTGGTAAATTGCAGGCACAAGATTTCAGAACAACTGGAACTCAGGTGAGGAGGAAGATGTGGTTACAGAACATGAAGATAAAGCTCATTGTCCTGGCGATTATCATCGCCTTGATTCTGATTATTGTATTGTCAGTTTGTGGGGGTTTCAAATGTTAATTTTGTTTCATTAGGATGGCATTAACCGGAAATCAGAAGTCTTATGTGTTTAAGATATATCATTTCATTTTATATGCTGCTGCACGCCTGCACATTTCACTTGTAGTCTACATATAACATGTGACACGTACATTCTCTTGTATAGTGTGTTCACCGAAATTATTATTACTATTATTTTATTATTAGTGTTATAATTATTACTATTTATTTGTGATAGAAATGGCCTATGTTAGATTCAAACCGTACCAGAAATATTGAATCCATTTCCATGTTGCACGTCCCAACTCTCAAGTGTCTATCACTGCCTCAACATCCCCGCTGGGGTGTAAATAAGTCAATTCAACTCGAGTCCTAGCGCGAGTCAGTTCATGTGTACATCCATTTTCAATACTTATTACAAAGTATATTAGAATAGTAATAATTATAAATAAAATAATATTTATTATTATAATCATAATATGTAATAATTATAATCTGTAATATGTCCCTTTGGGGACATTGGATAAAATTGGAAATTTGGAACGATACAGAGAAGATTAGCATGTCCCCTCGAAAAAATTATAATCTATAATATTTATTAATAGTAAAATAAGATAAAAAAAAGTGAGTTAAGGAGAGAAGAACTAAAAGTGGGAACAATAATTTTATTTTGAAATTATTTTTAATATTAATATTTTTTTGGAAAATAGAAATTTTAAATTTATCTCGAATTTGAGCATCTTATTCGAGCTCAGACATAAAAATTCATTAGCAAAACTCTAGTCGAGCTCGAGTTATTTAGCTAGTTCAAGCTCGAGCGCGGACCCGAACTTGTGAATTCTTATCAAGCTCAAGCATACCCATATTCAAGAAGCTCGAGCCCGGGGCCCTGAACTCAAGGATTCTTATCATGCTCAAACTCGAACAATCCATGTTCTCAAGCTTGGCTCGGTTCATATGCACCCTAATCCACCCCACTCGCCACCCCTATATCTTAGTGGTGATTCGAGAATGGGAGGATTCACCAATGTATATCAGTATGAACCCATGAAAACTCTAGATTCATAGCCGATAGGCCCGATACCATAGGTATCACAACCAATCTCTACGGAACACCCATTGTTTATAATATACTTCCTTCGTCCTGTTAACAATGGGACAAGAGGGAGTGACACGCAAATTAATAAAAAGTGTTTTATATTGAATTGATAAAGTAAGAATAAAGTAAGAATGATTTAGAGGCACACAGACTTTACCAAATTTGGTATGGGACAATCTTAGTGGGACGGACTGATAAGGTAAAATGGGACAATCATAGCAGGATGGAGGTAGTACTACATATTATTAAATGCTATAGCGGTTCAAAACCCCCCATAATTTCCATCATTTTCAATGGAGCCAAAGATTCATTATTTTTGGGCTTGAGATTATGATGGAATAAAGCAAAATGGCTCACTTAACTGTTTGCGCTTCTTTGTTATGAAGCAGCAGTCAGTCCATGCAATTTTGGACGGGATTTTCACTATGGGTCATCCGGAAACAGTCTCTCTGTGCTTTAGTACAGGGGTAAGACTACGTACATCCAACCCCCCTTACCCCACCGTATGTGGGAGCCTTTGCGGCACTGGGGTAAATGAAAATGAAAATGACAAGCAATGTCAATTTGTGTACACATTTTGTGTATACCAAGAATGGCCGGAATCCTTGGACACATAATTGACAGGTCTCGGTTCGAGTTCGGATACGGCGTATCCGAACTCGAACCGAGACCTGTCAATTATGTGTACAAAAACCAAACCAATGAACAATTCTAGAACCAAGACTTGGCCTTGTGCTGATTCACTTCGCTTATTCTAAAATTGGACTGAATCATCTTATTCCAATTTGACCCGTACACACTTTTTCCTACTTCAAAACCTGGCTAGGAACCGTGCTGAAAACATCGGTTGATGCAAACCGGATCCAGATCAGATATAGCATTGCATACATTATTCATAGGACAAATTGTAAGATGTTTCTGTTAGATAACACTGATGATCATATAAAGTAGGGGTGGATTCGGGCCGGGTCGGGTCCCGGCCGGTCGGGCCGCCGGTTCGTATCACATGGGCCCGGGACCGGCCCGAGGGTTGGACGGGTCCGGTTCGGACCGGGCCACCCGCCCGGGTCACAGGTCGGGCCACCCGCCGAGCCAGGCCGGTTAAATATATTTTTTTTAATTTATATTTTATACTTTATAGTTTTATACAAGTATTAAAAAACAAACTTCAAGTGCATTTATTTGAAATGAAATAGGAACTACATTTGAAAATTAAATAGGAACTATAATTGTTTTTAAAACGTGAAATACTAATCAATCATTCAATATTTCAATCGGAATCTCCGGCATAGGTAGAGCTACCCTCGGTTGTAGATTCATCCATAAAGTGTTGGGATGGGGTGATGTCAATTTCTTGAGCTCTACGAGCTACTTTCAACCAATCGTGGTAGCATATAAGCATCTCAAGAGATTCAGCGCTCAACCTCGTTCTGGTTTGTGTTAGGACATTGCCGGCCGAACTAAATTCTTGTTCCACAACAACCGTTGAAACCGGCATTGATAGCAATTGCTTAGTCATCTTTGCTAAAACCGGGAACATTCTTTCTTTTCCCTTCCACCAGTTTAGTACGTCAAAATCATCATCTTCTTCAAAATCAACATCATTAGTTAAATACAAAAAAATCTCATTAATTGTGCTTTGTTGTGTAGCGGAAGTTGATTTCGTTTTTTTAATAAGATCGGCAAACGTACATTTGAAAATTGATTTTCCTTTAGATGATGTTTGTGTCGGGGGAGGGGGCGCATTGCCAAATTGTGCATGAAACTCATTGAATAATGCATAAAATATATCACTAACCTCGTTGTATTCTTTTTTCGGATCAATTGGGTTATCCTCATACATTAGCAATGGACCAAAAAAGCAGCATAATAATAATTCAAACATTCTTCTAAAGAACCAAGTCTAAAACGAGGATCGAGAACAAATGCAATACCATAAATATGCGGAATATGTGAATAATATTTTAAAAACTTTTCCTTCATAAAACTAGCAAAATAACTCACATAATCAGCATTCTCAAAATTTGAAAAAGCACCGGCGAGATTAACAGCTTCACGAATAAATTGGTTTGAGGTAGGTTTATAAACATGACTAAAAGTTTCAGTTGCATTATTAAAATATATCAAAACATTACAAATTTTTTCACAGGTGTCGATCTCAGCCGAGTTTATAATATAGTTATCATATTATTTCATAAAAGCAAGAAAATGTTGTTTATATCTAAGAAGAACTCCAATTAACTTATAGGTAATATTCTAACGAATAGACAAATCTTTAGGAAAAGCCACATATCTCTCACCTCTTTCTATCAAATCTTTAGGAAAAGCAAATTAACTAGTGAATTAACTAGTTTTGTGTACAACATATTTTTTTAAACTAGAGTCAAATGTAGCAATTAATAAAAAATTGTAAAAAAGTAATTAACTATTTATCTAACTATTAATTCGAGTTATAGCAAATTAACTAGTGAATTAACTAGTTTTGTGTACAACATATTTTTTTAAACTAGAGTCAAATGTAGCAATTAATAAAAAATTGTAAAAAAGTAATTAACTATTTATCTAACTATTAATTCGAGTTATAGCAAATTAACTAGTGAATTAACTAGTTTTGTGTACAACATATTTTTTTAAACTAGAGTCAAATGTAGCAATTAATAAAAAATTGTAAAAAAGTAATTAACTATTTATCTAACTATTAATTCGAGTTATAGCAAATTAACTAGTGAATTAACTAGTTTTGTGTACAATATATTTTTTTTACTAACAATGAAATTAATACACTTTAACTTTAACTATAATTAGAATTACAACTAGCTTTTTAAACTAGAGTCAAATGTAAATACTAGAACTTTGTAGAATATATTAATCTAACTATTAATTCGAGTTGTAGCAAATTGTACAACCTAATTAACTAGTTTTTTTTTCAAGTAACGTTAATACAAAATTAAACAAGTGTAAATAATAGAATAATTTCGTACCTCTTTCGGACTTTCGGTCTTTCGGATGGGAGTAATAGAATGGCTTCAAATTAATTAGATATAATTCCAACTATATTAATAGATATAATAAATATATAAGTAATATATAATTAGATAACAAATATAAGTAATATAATACTATTTATATCTATTTATAGTTTATATAAGTAGATAATTAATATAAAGTTATAAACTATAAATAATAAATATAATATATTGGAGAATGAAGAATAAGAGAATTAGAGAGTAGAGAGTTAAGAATAGGATTTAGGAAGAATTGGAGAAGAGATATGAAAAAATGTTTAAGATTAGGAGTATTTATAGGTTTTTTTACCCCCCCCACACCACCCAACCCCCCCGGACCCCCCAAGACCCACCCAACGGCTATATAGCCGTTTGGGTTGTCCCCAGCCCACCCATAACGGCTAGTAGCCATTTAATTTATTTTTTTTTTTAAATATGACCGTTGGACCCGGACCCGGACCCGGGCCTGACCCGGCCGGGCCAGACCCGGCCGGGCCAGGTCGCATTTTTCCAGAACCGTTCCCGCCCCGCCCATTCCCACCGGTTCGGGTCTACACCCGGTCCCGGACCGCCCGACCGGGCCGGTCCCGGGCCCGCACAGTACCGGGCCGGGCCGGGTCACGGGCCGGGTGGCCCGAACCGAATCCACCCCTAATATAAAGTATTCATTATTCAAATGCTGAGATTTTTCTGATGAGTACACAAATTGCACACACATTGCAACTTTTATTGACCTTTTCAAAGTACTCCCTAATTTCAAATGCTTAGATGATTCTATTAACTACTCACATGACAAATTCTATCATTGACGATTTCAAAGTAATGTATGTGTAACAAATAGAGATCCAAATGTTTGACAGGGCAAAACCTTCTGACTTTTGAGTAGTCATTTCCAGTCCAGAGGTTATTGGTCAACATCTTCAAGAGGCATTGATTTCTATATTGTCGATCAATCTGACATTTCCAAACCAAGCCGCCACACAGAAAACCACAGGCATCTTAATCACTTCAGCTGGCTCTAGACTTTCTAGGTCAACAATCTTCATTACAAGGAAATGGTGTAGAGTTGCATTAGTTCAATGAATATATTTAGACTCCTGGCTTTCCAATTTAACAAATCACACTAGGAGACATAGTACATCATAATTGTAATCATAAGCATATCTTTAACTCTTTGAGTATTGTTCACCAAGAGATTTTCTCTATGTGTATTAGAATAGAAGCAAGGTAGAAGATGGAAATGAAATCATCTTAATGAGAAAGAGTTATTACAGAGTATTTACATAAGTTGTAGTCACAACTAACTATCAGCTAACATAACCGAAGCCTAACAGAATATAGTTGTACTTTATTATAAAGAAATACACGTGTAGTTTTCATACACTATTCCTAACATTCCCCCCTCAAACTGAGGGTGATTGATTTGGAAAATCAATCACACTCAGTTTGTTTCTAAACTCAAGAAAAGTGGAAGCTGATAGAGAGGCTTGGTCAGCACATCTGCAACTTGTTGGGAAGCTGGAATGTGAAAAACTTCAAGCTGTTTGAATTTGACTTTCTCTTGTACAAAGAAGAGATCAATTTCCATGTACTTTATGCGAGAGTGTAATACAGGATTGTGAGCAAGTTGTATTGTACTAAGGTTGTCATAGTAGATTCTTGGAGTAATAAAAGGAGCTTGAAGTTCTTTGAGTAGAAATTGAACCAATAATATCTCTGATGTAGTATCTGGTAGGCTTCTACATTCAGCTTTTGCTGAAGATCTGGCTACCCTCAGTTGTTTTCTAGACCACCAGGAAATTATATTAGGGCCTAAAAAGATGCATGACCCAAATATGGATTTCCTATCTGTAGGATCTGATGCCAAGTCAGCATCACAAAAAGCTGAGATAGGTAGAGGTGTTTTTAACAAAGGAAGAGGTTTGATGATCAGTCCATAATTGCATTGCTGCAAACTAAGGTGGAGAGGAGAGAGCCTGCTTAACTGATTTGGGCTCTATATGAGCTAACAGTAAGGTGGGATTAACTCTAGGTTTAACAATTCCAGATTTGGATCTGGTTTGCATGGGATGAGTGTTATGGAAGGGAATTGGAGGTGTGGGAGAGGAGGAAGAAACAGATGGTGTGGAATGAGAAATGGTAGTGGTGTCATTTAAGGGGTGAAGAGGGGGTGAGTCAGTTTGAGAGGATACTTGATGATCAATTGGGTGACTGGAATTAAACTAAGGTGTAGTGGATGAAGATGTAGGAGTGGAAGAAGTACTGAATGATGTATTGTTATTGGAGCAGAAGGTGAAACTGGGATATTATGAGATGGACTGGATGTGGAAGGAAATAGAGTAGGATAAGGAAATTTTGTTTCATCAAAGATAACATCCCTGGAGAGAGATATTTTTCCACGGGGAGAAAGACATTTCTAGCCTTTATGTTGGGAGGAGTACTCCAGATGGACACATTCCTTTGAGTGATAGTCCATTTTATGCTTGTTGTAAGGTCTAATGAGGGGATAACATGAGCAACCAAAGACTGACAAAGGAATAATCAGGAACAGTTCCATAAAGTTCGAAATATGGACTGAGATTAGGAATGGATTTAGAAGGAATTCTGTATATGAGATGTACAGCAGTGTCAAAGGCAGTGTCCCAGAATTTGAAAGGTAAGGAGAGGAATGGGCTAAGAGGCATAAACCTTTATCAACAATGGTACGATCACTACGATGTTTCCTCTCAACAACACCATTTTGAATTTTGATGGTGTGTGTGAGGGATCTTAATAGAGATTGTATTGACTTAATAGAGATGTTGAACTGGTTTAAGATATATTGATAGAAGTTTTGAAATGCTAAGAAAGCATCAGATTTCTTTTTGATAAAATAGATCCAAGTGTACCTAGTGAAGGCATCAATGAATGTTATATAGTAAGAGTAGCCATCGAAGGACTGAATAGGAGCTGGACCCCACAAATCAGTAAAGATCAGTTCAAAGGGAGAATGAAAAACAGTTGTAGAGGGGTAGGAAGGAAGTCTGTGAGCTTTGCCAAGGCAACATGCAGAACAAAAGTCAACAGCATTTTTATTGATATAAGAGATATTAAAAAATGAGGATGACCTAGTCTTAAATGCCAAACATTACAATTGTTATTTGACTGAGATTTATTACAAGTAGACATAAGAGAACTAGGACACACAGAGCTATTTATGGAGGACTTGGATATGTTTGCAAGTAGAGTTGTGAGACCCAAGAGCTGGAAAGGACTGAAACTTGTAAAGAATCTGTTTAGAAATATGGGATTTGACAAATCATTCATGAGGATGGAATTCAAAACATGCATTGTTATCCTTGGCAAATTGACTGACACTTAAAAGATTTTTGGTTATAGCAGGAACATGTAAAATGTTATTGAAAGATAAAGAAAGAGATGATTGATAAGGAGAGGGAAAGGATGATAAACCAATAGACTTGATTTCCAAACCTTGACCATTGCCCATAAAAAGCTTATCAGTAGTAGCAATTGGCTCACTGTGTTGGAAGTTGAGAGGATCAGCTGTGACATGGTGTGTAGCTCCAGAATCTGGGAACCAATTCTGGGTATTGGGAGGTGGTCCTAGCACAGAAGGATTTGCACATGCCCAGGCTGTGCAGATGGAATAGTAGGTGGTGGTGTATAGGGATAAGATGGTGGTCCCAAATTAAAGGGTGATGGATTGGATTGATTGGGTGAATATCTTGGTGCAGCAGAAGAAGATGATTGGTATTGATTTGGATATTAATTAGTTATGGGAAAAGGATGATGTTGAGGCTGTTGAAACTGGTTTGAGTATGGATGAGGTTGTTGCACATTAGATGAGCAAGGAACTAAGGATTCCATTGATTTGATGAGCTAGTGTATGGATTGTATCTCTGGTAACAAACAAGAGCATTGTGGCCATTTTTACCACATACTTGACAGGTTACTGAGCTCTTCTACTACCAGAGCGACCACCTCTGCCTCTATTAAAACCTCCATGACCTCTACCTCCATAGGAAGAATTGCCACTAGGGCTATCAAACTGAGCAATTTGAGCTGAAGCATTTTCTGAAGTATTTTGAGTTCCAGTTTCAGTGTTTTGAGAAGGAGCTTCAAGCCGAGCAACATTAGCAGAAAATAATGTTTGCTGTGAGGAATCACGAAGTTTTCTCAGTCGTAATTCCTTAGCCAATAAGAGACCTTCAAGTTCAGAGATAGTGACAGGATCTAAAATGCTTCGAGATGTAACAGATGATATAAGCGACTCGTAGTCCTCAGGAAGACCTTCAAGGATCACATTGATATGATCCTTAGTTGATATAGGCTCACCGACAGACATTAAGTTATCAACTATTGTCTGAATATGAAGCAGATAATCAGAAATTGAGCGATCACCTTTTCCGGTGTTATAGAGTTCTGTGACGAGCTCTGGTGATGATACTTTATCGAAAGAAATTTTGAATTTCACTCCATAGCTCATGCGTGCAATTGATGACGCGAGCGTGAAGTGATTCAGAAAGCGACGCCAAGAGCCAGGAAAACAAGATTTGATCTTGTTGCTCCCAGATGTTGTATGCTTCGTTGATTGTTTTTGCTCCATTTTCACCAACAGCGAAGCGTTCTGGTATATGAGGATTCTGTTGGGAATATTTTATGGTGTTCAATCTAGTTAGTTATCTTTGTATTTGTGTAGTTATCAATTAAACGTGTAATACGGGCCACAAATGTGTATCAACCCGTTAGCTTCCTTGTAACCCGTAAGTTAGCCAACTTCTCCTATAAAAGGAAGCTAACTTACGGGAACCCAAACTAAAGCTTGAGGCTTTAGAGAATAGAGGCGCAGAGATAGAGAGATTAGGGTTGCCGCTGCTCTCCTTCTCAAGGGAGAGCAGCGGCCAGTTCATACGGTATACCAGATTCGGTTCATCTTCTCCATATCTTTCTATCTGCTTCTTCTTCACTGCTTATGATTGTTTGATTGTTAAGTTTTGGGTTTATCAGATTCTCTATGAACTTGAGAAGTTTGTGAGCACGTATTACAGATTCAATATGATGTCACCAAAATAGAAAGTTATTGGAATCGAGTTTAACACGTAGAGGATGATAGCTGCAAGCTTTCGGTTAATGCCATCCAATCTTCGGTACAATGCTTTGCTTGGTGATGACATTGTCATTGCCGATAAAGCGGTGGCTGATGAGTATCTTCGCTTATGAAATAAAATCGGAGTCCAAATCTAAGAGGCTAAAAGTTTGGTCCGCTCCCAGAATCTTAGGTTGCTTTCTTTTCGTTTTAGGTAAAATAACCAAGGTTGCCAAAAGCTATGGGGGCCCCTCATAAATCCACCACTTATCAGACTGCGAATGCTAACAGTATCGAAGCGCACCAAGAGATTCCCGGTCGAATGAGAAGATGTTTGCGAGGATGTAAAATTAGATGTAGAGTTCGTCATGGTTGGATCGAGCAAAGCTCTGATACCATAATGAGAAAGAGTTATTACAGAGTATTTATATAAGCTGTAGTCACAACTAACTATCAGCTAACATAACCGAAGCCTAACAGAATATAGTTGTACTGTATTACAAAGAAATACACGTGTAGTTTTCATACACTATTCCTAACAATGTGTAACAACTTTATCAATATTCTTGTGCTGAAGTTGGGGCTCAAATTCACTAAAAATCATTTAATGCAATCATATAAATATTTGTAGTTAATTTAAATAATTATAAAAATGAATTTTCAGTATACCTAGAAAGTGTAAATTTCAGCATTATCAGCTCATTCACGAGGTGTAGTTACAGTTTGGTGAAGAGAAGGGCAGTAACACTAAATGACTAATAATCTGAAAACAAACCTACAGAATGGGTTGTAAAGTTCATGCCCAAGAGATTTATTCGAATTTAACATTACCAACCATGCATCAATGATGTATGATACATCTATCAACTAGCAGTTAAGAAAAGGTTTTATTGTCAAAAAAATAAGTTACTGCAAATAGAGGTGGGTAATAGAGAAGGCGATAGTGTTGGATTGTTTGAACAGTTTGAGATCTCACCTCGGCATAATCTATTCGTCCACCAGCCTTTTCTACAGATTGGATAACTAGACTTCTCAACTCCTTGCAGTTATCCTTTCCACCTACCTCTGCTTCTACTTTGGCTTTTGAAAGTGCCAGAATTATTGATAGAGCCTGCATAATAATAACAAGAAAAAACTTGAGCAATTGAAATAACTGCAATATTGAAGAAAAGTTAAGAGTTGAAAATTAGGATCTACATAATGGCTATGGCCAGCACTGCACATTTAGACCAAGATCTTCCATTAACAATGTAAGGTTAATTACACAAAGAAAGTATTAAACAACAATAAGAATTGCCAACTGCTATTGTTGTTCTCAAGAAAACATAATTGAAACATATAAGAAAATGAGAGAACCTGTTTTCTCTCATCAGGCGAGAGCCGCACATTACGAGAACTCATTGCAAGGCCATCGTCTTCTCGCATAACCTCGGCACCAATCACCTTGATTCCAAAATCAAGATCTTGCACCTAAAGATACAAAAAATGCATCAAAGGAAGTCAGTGTCTTTTTTAAGTGCCAACTCCTTAATTTAAAAACAGTGAATAGAATCTAACCTAAGAACTAAATGCAGGAGTGCAACTCTTAGAAAAAGACGTAATTCCATCTTTCTCTACTTTTTGACAGATTTTTGTTTGTAACATATCTCCTCTACTGTTCTTCACTTTTAGTCATTGTGGGTTTGTGGCAATTTCACTTTTGGTACCCGTCTTTACATTTTCAGTTTTAGCCATTTGAATATTATGACAAACATTTTTGGATACTTTTGGTATCCGTCTTTGAATTTTCATTTTCCAACCCCTAACTATTGTGGTTGTGACACTTATACTTGTCTTTGGATTTTGTCACAATAGTTGGAGGAGCCAAAGTGTCACTTCCATAATAATTAAGGTCATAATCACAGTAGTAACTTGTAAGCAGTTCAAAAGTGAAAAAAATCAAAGAAAAGCACAAAACGAATCTTTGTTCTATGTCGTGATAGTTAGAGGACTAAAAGTAACAATACTAAAAATGGGTACTAAAAGTGGCATGAACACAACAATCAACGAACTGAAGAAAAAAACTAGATATAACATATTTTTTGGATTAGAGCAAAAAAGAACATAAAGATTCCATATGATCATGATAAAACATTGCAGTCTCTAGATTAAAATTAAAATCAATTCTAACTTGATTTAAAATGTAGAAAACATTAAAAAAAAGTAACATGATTTATCCTGCTTTCCACATCAAAATAAACAAACCATAACATTGAAGAAAACAATCTCACCATTTTCTGAATAATTCTCCATTGCTGATAATCCTTCTTGCCAAAGACAGCAACATCAGGCTCAACGATGTTGAACAGTTTGGTAACAACAGTAGCAACCCCTCTGAAAAAGATAGGCCTGCTCTTCCCACACAACCCCTTCTCTAATCTTTCAACTCTGACCCACGTCTGATGCCCTCCTCCCCCATTTTCTCCCACACAGGAAACCTCATTTCCTTCTCCTCTAACCAATTCTTGTTGTTGACTCCTCTTACACCCGTCTCCATGATTATACAGGTTATAAGGGTGGAACACAGCATCTACACCACCAGGAATTGACCTTAGCTTTTGGATATCTCCGAGAAAATCACTAGGGTATGTGGATAGGTCCTCATTGGGAGAAAATTGTCCTGGGTTCACATAGATGGAGACTATTATGGCTTGTGCGTGTTTTTGTGCTTCTCTGATGAGGGAAATATGACCTTCGTGGAGGTAGCCCATCGTGGGTACAAAACCTATGGTCTTGCCTTGGGCTCTTACGCATCTTGACCATTTTCGCATATCCTCTTTTCCTGTGATGATGATTGGCTCTTTAGCTTCCATTTGCTATAAAGAAAGATGAATATTGGTGATGTTGAAGTCGTTTGCTAATGCCTAATAGTCAGAAATTTGCAAATGAGGGGCGGACCTTGGGTTGGGGATAGGAGGTAGGGGAGCTGAATGGGGTTCCAAACAATGAAGTGCTTAATATATACTACGTATATATAGTTAAAGTGCTTAAAAAATGGTTCCTCAGTCCTCCCAGGCCTGCCAATGTCAATTTTAAAATAAAAGCGACAATGAGAATGCAATCAATTGGTACAGGCGAAACACTGATTACTGAGATAATTAGCGGTTTATGCTCAAGGAAAAAAGGGAAAACCCCTAGCTACACTGAAGAGATGGAGGCTGTTAATGGCGCCATATGCAAATATCTAAAAATCAATGGCAGAGTCAGGCAAACATGATGGGAAACCAGCAACAACAGGAGAATAAGTATGGCAGGGCTTATTTTCTTAAAGAAAATGGTGGAAATTGAAGAGTTTTAGCTGCTTAATCTCAAACTCGACGATTTATGTAAGAAACGTGCATGCTTTGCAAGAGTGCATCCGGTAAGGAGGCAGTTTTGCAAACCATAATTCAATTCCACTTTTCTACTTTCAGAGGTGGAACCAGAGAACATAATGAGGGAGTGCTGGAATATATATACAAACATATTACATATTTTATATATATATATATATATATATATATATATATAGGGAGCGGATCAGGTGAGAAGTGCCCTTAGGCTGAGAACTGTGAAGTCTAACTTATAAGCTAAAAATACAAACTTTTAACCAATAAATCAAAACTTATAGACCCCTCACAAATAATTACGAAAATGCCACCGCGTCAAAATAACTCCAGAAACCTAGAAAATTTTTTGACGCGGTGGCATTTCCGTAATTAAGATGGAGAGCTTTATAAGTTATGATTTATTGGTTATAAGTTCCTATATTCAGTCTATTAGTTTGTTGCGTTGTAAGATTAGATGCAAATCCAAGGGCTGAGATTACTTCTCACTTCTCATCTTAAGGAGGACTTCTCGCCTGATCTTTTCTCTCTCTCTCTCTCTCTCTATATATATATATATATATATATATATATAAACTACATGTCACCATTATGTTAACTATATACGTAGTACTATTTTTTATTGAAATTTTTAGACTTTTTTGCTAGTATTTTAATTTGTAGACTTTGTTAGTATTTTACTTCTAAAGAGAGTTTTTATGAATATGTATTGTATATTTTGTATAACTAAGTTACTTTATTTCAATTCAATACAATTATATGTCACTTTATACTATTTAAATAATAATTTTGACCCATTTGCACCAAATAAAAGAAACATTAAGTAATTATGATCTCGTTTCAAAATTCCAATCTACAAAAAAATGAGTAACTTTATTCAAAGCATATCTTGGATAAATATAGAAGAATTCTGGATAATTTTTACATTACTGGGTATAGATCAATTCATACTTTTGTTTAATACTACCTCGGTCCCGGTGGACTTTGCCAAGTGCTAAGTAGGTGAGAAATAAGAATAGTAAAAACTGTGTGGTTGAAATTTGTGCAGAGGAGAGAGAAATGTGCAGAACGACAAATTCGTTGCTTTAATAGGAAAGTGGCAAAGTTTTTTGGGAAAACCAAAAAAGGAAAGTTGTCAAAGTCCAATGGGACGGAGGGAGTATTGATTACTTCAAAAGTAAAACTAGATATACATTTTTGGTGCATTCCTGTATGGCATGCATCTATTGAATGCTGATAAGTTATCTAATTTTCTATCTTCCAATAATGCAAGGCAAGACATTATCACATGAATGCACCGAAAAACGTAGCAAAATAGTACACTTACCTTTATTGAAATAAAAACCATAATTTTAGGCTTCTTGAAATACCAAATTACTAGTATACCCCTTATAGTAATTATTCTTGATACTCTCTCTTCACATATGTCACCTCATTATCTCAACCATTATAATCAGTCTGACGTGAAGCATTGAAGTGTACTTTTTGCTATATTTAAAAATTTATATTTGACGATTCAAAACAATAAGAAACATAAAATATATTATTTATCAATTATGGATGTAAAAAATGTAATAATTGAGATAAGTTAATCACATATAATTATATAAATATAACGAAATAAAGAGCTTCTAATAATGCCAAAAAAGTAGTGATAAAAAATAAATGTCATCATCATCATTACCCCAGTGCCGCAAAGGCTCCCACCTACGGTGGGGTAAGGGGGATCGGATGTATGCAGTCTTACCTCTGTACTAAAGCACAAAGAGACGGTTCCCGGATGAACCATAGTGAAAATCGCGTCGAAAATTGCATAAATTGATTGCTTCTTCATAACAAAGAATATGTGTAGTACAGTACTAAACAATTCTCAACGCTAAAGAGAAATTTAAGAAATTAAATGTATAAATTACAAATTTATCACCTTATATTGTCGTGGTCAACCAATACCACCCTGATGAAAAGGTTGTGTTTATTTATTTTTTAACTCCAAATCGAACTCTTCCTGAAATAACACCATAGTGACGTGAGGGAGGCCAATTCGCCAAAAGAAATCACACTCTCCTAAATCTTGTCGCCGTAGCTGCTATTGCTCTGTTTCTTGAAATTGATAATATCACCTACGCGTAAAGTTTATCTTCATTCCTTCCTATGGATCCTTTTGGTGCCTGCAGTTCCTAACAACATGGGGTTTAAGAATTAAGACTAGAAGAATTACTGTGTATGACTGGATTCAGATATCTCCTACGCCGATGCATACTACTAATAACACATAAAATGATGGCATCTCTAATCTGGAGGAATTGGAAATCAAGCAAGGCATATGAGAAATACTGAGTGTTGTGAGCAAGCCTGACTTACCTCCTAAGCGGAGGATCCAAAAACACATGTGTATGTGTCATCTGCGCTATGTTCAATCAATAATGCTTTACATTGGTGTACATTATGTTCACACATTTCAAGAAGATTCAGTTCTACAGATAATAGTGGTTTAAGACATAGTTTTTCGTGCCAAAGTACACAGACGAGAGTGCAAGTCAATGTCTATGGGCACGCAAACCCAAGATAGTCAAAGTCGCAAGGTGCACTCAAGGCGCTACAGTACTCTATCGCCTGAGGCACAAGGCGCAAAAAAAGCCCTCGACTGACTCACTGACTCATTCCAAGAGCAATGTTTACAAAATATTTTGTATTCTATTCTAGAATTATCCAGCTTGATATATTCAACTTAATATTGAAACAAATGTAATACAAAAATCATTACTCACAAAAAACAAAACACCAAATCAGAATCCATAACTTAAGTCTTAAATAGTAAAACTAAAACTGAAATTAAATTAGATTCTAGCCCAATTCCAAAGTCACAGCTCTCGAGCACTTCATTTCAACATTCTCAGCAACACTTGAAGTTTCACCGTCCATTAGTATACAGTATAGACTATAGTTATAATTATAAAATATAAAACAATAAAAAGAAAAAAATCAAACTAAAAGAAAAAACTTGTTAAGAGAAAAAGAAGGAAATGGCAGAAAAATAAACATAAAGATGTAGACTTTTAAATGATAAGATAGAAATAAAGAGAGAAGATATAGATTTTGCATCCGAATTGAAAGAAAACGTTAGCCTACAAAGTTCATGAAAGAGGGAATAAGGACTAGCAATATAGCAGATACTCAGAGAATAATGAGAGAGGTGTCGGGCACTCGAGCCGATCAAGTACCTGAGCTATTTTCTTCTTCGAGACTCGAGAGGAGATTCGTCCGCTGGGAGAAGCGGAGGCTATTCGTTTACTGGGACTAGAGCGAGTCTCTATGAACCGAGGAGCGTTCGCGTCGGCGTGAAGTGAGAGGTTCGGCCGTCGCGAGCAACGAGGACTGAAGACTGGAATGAGAAATTTTATTGAGCGCGGGGGTGAAGGCTCATTTCAGAAGATTTCAATTTTATGAGCAAGGCAAGGTAGAAGATTTCAATTCCTTCATGTGGTCAACATCCATTTTGCATTTTTGCCTGAAATGTACAGAGTGAGGAATCTAATTAAGAATGCATCAAAATCTTGAATTTATTGAAATCAATCGGAAGTTGATCTAGGAAAATTGGATATTTGCTTGGGTTCTACTTACGAGTCAAGCCTCCCGTTTATCTCCCAAAGGTCGTGCTCGGCGCGCCTCTAATAAGGCTAAGCGCACAGATTTTTTAGCAGAAATGGAAAAATGTATCCCTGCTCAAATAAATTGGAGCTTCTCAATTTTGTTTAAGGATGGCAATGGGGCACGGGCCGTGGGGAACCGTCCGGTTGGGGGGAGTGGAGCAGGTGATGGGGAATTATGCATCCCCGCACCGTCCCAGCCCATCCCCTGTATATATAATAACAATAATAATAATAACGATAATAATAATGATGATAATAATAATGACAATAATGATGACAATAATGACGATAACAATGACGATAACAATAATAATGATGATAATAATAATAATGATAATAATGATGATAATAATGACGATAATAATGACAATAGTAATGACGATAGTAATGAAGATAATAATGATGATAATAATGATAATAATATGAATAATAATACTAATAATAATTCCACCTTAAGGGTTGGTAATTTTGTTTTTATTAGAATTGGATTAGTCATTCAAAAAGGTATTGGAGCTCAACTTGTTGTTAGGCTCCCTACTTGTTATTTGTAATCCTTCAACTTTCTTATCCTAATAAAATGCCTTTCCATAATAATAATAATAATAATAATAATAACAATACTAATAACAATAATAATAACAACAATAATAACAACAACAACAATAATAACAACAACAACAACAATAAGAATAATAATAAAAAAAATAATAATAATAATAATAATTATAATAATAATAATAATAATAATAATAATAATAATAATAGCCAATGGTGGGTGATGGATTACTGGGTATCCAAAGTCTATAATAAATGGAGAGATTTGGGCTAATGTGAGGAAGAAGATGAATGAATAGTGAATTGTGAAATTATGTCTTAGGTTTACAAATGGCTCCAAGAGGAGTATAAATAGGGAAATAATGGGTCGGGCCGCTAATATGGGCCCGGTAGCCCAACTACATAAAAGACTAATCTAGTACATAGTTACATACAAATGATATATAAGCAGTACAATAATGCAAATGATATCCGTAAGATGTGTGTGGGCCGCTGTCCGGGCCCAATAGTCATGAGACCCGGGGGTCCGAGTCTATATACTCTATCAGGAGTCCCCCACTCTCTGAGTCGAGAGTATTCGAGGCGAAAGAGAGTAGAACTGTGTGATGATCTGTCGTCGTCTGGTGAGTAAACTTCGTGAACAAAAATTTGAATTCCTGCTTCTTTGGTTAACGGAGGCGCTAAGTCCCCCGCTCTTCCAGTCCCCCACTCCTTGAGGCGAGTGTAATGAGGTGAAGAGGAGTAGAGTAATGCGTGTCGGATGATGTCTTCAACAGGGGGCCGAGGGTTGACACCTTTTGATCCACGATGGGGAGATGCCTCGTTAAAAACCTCATTAGGAAAAACCCTGTGGGAAAAAATCCTAATGAGGGAAAAAGAGTACACCGGATGCCCCCAAAATGAAACAAAAGGTGCGAGCCCTTCGGCCTGGAGATGGAGCTACAGCGGTGCCCGTCTGCTGGATGGTCGAGGCCGATCTCTAGATGTGGGAAGCTCATCATGATCAGTAGTCCTAGTCATAAAATAAAGATGACTAAGGGATGGGTCGAGCGACCGTCCACAATATGATGTCTGGTTCATCAAATAAAGATGACCAGAACGTAAGGCCGATGGGCCGAGAGGCCTGTACGAGAGCTCCACGTTGTCAAATAAAGGCGACGGGGCGATGGTGCGGCCGAGGGGCCTGCATAAGAGTTCCACGTCGTCAAATAAAGACGACGGGGCGATGGTGCGGCCGAGGGGCCTGCATAAGAGCTCCACGTCGTCAAATAAAGACGACGGGGCGATGGTGCGGCCGAGGGGCCTGCATAAGAGCTCCACGTCGTCAAATAAAGACGACGAGGCGATGGTGCGGCCGAGGGGCCTGCATAAGAGCTCCACGTCGTCAAATAAAGATGACGGGGCGATGGTGCGGTCAAGGGGCCTGCATAAGAGCTCCACGTCATCAAATAAAGATGACGGAGCGAGATATGGCCGATGGGCCTGTAAATGAGCTTCGCGTCATCAAATAAAGATGACGAGGCGATATATGCCCGATGGGCCTACAACTGAGCTTCGCGTCATCAAATAAAGATGACGGAGCAAGATGTGGCTCAGAGGCCTACAAATGAGTTCCTCGTCATCAAATAAAGATGACAGAACGATATATGGCCGATGGTCCTGTAGATGAGCTCTTCGTCATTAAATAAAGATGACAGAGCGATATATGGCCGATGGGCCTACAAATGAGCTCTTCATAATCAAATAAAGATGACAGAGCGATATATGGCCGATGGGCCTACAAATGAGCTCTTCATCATCAAATAAAGATGACAGAGCGATATATGACCGATGGGCCTACAAATGAGCTTCACGTCATCAAATAAAGATGACGAGGCGATATATAGCTGAACTCTGGGCTCCTTTAGCCTTTCGGCCGGAGACCGCAAGATGTTCGCTATATCTGAATAGGGGGACAAGGCGGTGGACGCCTGTCTGAATATGAGGACGACGACGCTGATGAGTCGGTCCGAATATGAGGACGACCGCGCGGACGAACCGGTCCGAATATGGGGACGATGGCGCTGGTGAGCCGGTCCGAATATCGGGACGAGGCGATGATAAGCCATGCGTCATATGAAGGCGACGGTCACCATCCAGGAAGGGAATGGCGAGCCTGGTCGCTAGATAAGGACTTCGGCGTTGGGGCCGGTCTAAATGTGAGGACGAGGCGATGATGAGCCGTGCGTCATATAGGGGCGATAGTCACCATCCAGGAGGGGATGGCGAGCCCAATCGCTATAACAAGACTTCGGCGCTGGGAGCCGGTCTTGAGATAAATAATCACGTCGCGGCCGAGAGGCTGATCGCGATGTGCGGATGACAATGATGAGGAGCCAGTCCGAAATATGATGACGAGGCGAAGATGGAGCCGATCGTCATATAGAGGAGATAGTCACCATCCAGGAGGGGATGGCGAGCCTGATCGCTAGCCCAACACACTCGGCGCTGATGAAGCCGGTGTTGGGATAGGGTGTGACGTCGTGGCCGAGGGGCCGATCGTGATGCGAGGTCGTCAGCACTATGAGGCTGATCCAAAAGTCCAAGGAGCGGTCGCCATCCGATGAAGGAATGACTGAGACCGGTCTTGGGAATAGATAATCACGCCGAGGCCGAGGGGCCGATCGTGATGTGCGGACGGAGATGATGAGCCGATCCGATAATATGATGACGAGGCAAGAATGAAGCCAATCGTCATATAAGGGCGATGGTCACCATCCAGGAAGGGATGGCGAGCCCGATCGCTAGCTCAAGACTCTCGGCGCTGAGGAAGCCGGTCTTGAGATAGATAGTCACGCCGAGGCCGAGGGGCCGGTCGTGATACGCGGATGGCGATGAAAAGAGCCAATCCGAAATATGATGACGGGGCAATGATGAGCCGGCCGTCATATAGAGGCGATGGTCACCATCCAGGAAGGGATGGTGAGCCCAGTCGCTAGCTCAAGATCGCGTTGAGACCGAGGGGTCTGCCGCGACGTGAGCATGGCGCCGATGATGAGCCGTTCCAATAAATGATGACGAGGCCATGATGGGCCAATCGTCATATAAAGGCGACGGTCACCATCCAGGAAGGGATGGTGAGCCCGATCGCCAGTTCAAGACTCTCGGCGCTAAGGAAGCCGGTCTTGAGATAGATAATCACGCCGAGGCCGAGGGGCCGGGCATGATGTGAGGACGACGGCGATGAGGGGCCAGTCCAAAAATCCATGCAACGGTCGTCATTCGGTAAAGGAATGACTAAGACCGGTCTCGAGATAAATAATCACGTCGAGGCCGAGGGGGCCGGCCGTGATATGAGGACGAAGGCACTGAGGGGCCGGTCCGAAGATCCATGCAACGGTCGCCATCCGGGAAGGGATGACTAAGACCGGTCTCGAGATAAATAATCAAGTCGAGGCCGAGGGGGTCGATCGTGATATGAGGACGACGGCGATGAGGAGTCGGTCCAAATAATGATGACGAGGCGATGGTGAAGCCGATCGTCATATAGAGGCGATGGTCACCATCCGGGAAGGGATGATGAGCCCGATCGCCAGCTCAAGACTCTCGGCGCTAAGGAAGCCGGTCTTGAGATAGATAATCACGCCGAGGCCGAGGGGCCGGCCGTGATGTGAGGACAACGGCGATGAGGAGTCAGTCCTATAATATGGTGACGAGGTGCTGATGAAGCCGATCGTCATATAAAGGCGATGGTCACCATCCGGGAAGGGATGGCGAGCCCGATCGCTAGCTCAAGACTCGCGGCGCTGAGGAAGCCGGTCTTGAGATAGATAATCACGCCGAGGCCGAGGAGGTCGGTCGTGATGTGAGGACAACGACGATGAGGAGTCGGTCCAAATAATGATGACGAGGCGATGGTGAAGCCGATCGTCATATAGAGGCGATGGTCACCATCCGGGAAGGGATGGCGAGCCCGATCGCTGGCTCAAGACTCACGGCGCTAAGGAAGTCGGTCTTGAGATAGATGATCACGCCGAGGCCGAGGGGCCGGTCGTGATGTGAGGACAACGGCGATGAGGAGCCGGTCCTATAATATGATGACGAGGCGCTGATGAAGCCGATCGTCATATAAAGGCGATGGTCACCATCCGGGAAGGGATGGCGAGCTCGATCGCTGGCTCAAGACTCGCGGCGCTGAGGAAGCCGGTCTTGAGATAGATGATCACGCCGAGGCCGAGGGGCCAGTCGTGATGTGAGGACAACGGCGATGAGGAGCCGGTCCTATAATATGATGACGAGGCGCTGATGAAGCCGATCGTCATATAAAGGCGATGGTCACCATCCGGGAAGGGATGGCGAGCCCGATCGCTGGCTCAAGACTCGCGGCGCTGAGGAAGCCGGTCTTGAGATAGATGATCACGCCGAGGCCGAGGGGCCGGTCGTGATGTGAGGACAACGGTGATGAGGAGCTGGTCCTATAATATGACGACGAGGCGCTGATGAAGCTGATCGTCATATAAAGGCGATGGTCACCATCCAGGAAGGGATGGTGAGCCCGATCGCTGGCTCAAGACTCGCGGCGCTGAGGAAGCCGATCTTGAGATGATGGACGGCGCTGGGTGCTCGTCTGAGATGATGGACGGCG